CTAGAATTTGCTTCAAAATATCTCAGAGGTACCAGGACGATGGAGAAGAGATAGAGATGAGATAACACTGGACATGTACTTAATGTGTTTAAAATCCCTTGAGTATGTTTCAGGTTTGTATCACTGAAAGATTTAAAAAGATGACAGCTGTGTGTTTGTGCATGTGGGTGTATGATGGCTTCCTAGAAGAAATGGTCCCTGAGCTGGATGGGATTTTCCAGGTAAAAAAGGGAGACGAATACGCCAGACAGAGAAGATGGCTCAGAAGTTAGGAGGCTGGGGAGTATTTGGGGGAACCAAATTGTTTAGAGATGATAGATTCTACCGCGGAGGCCATGGGTTGTAGTGTAAGGCGGAGGAGGTGAGTGGGGTAGGAGTGACTTCTGTGATAGGATAAGGAGCTGGATTAATCCTCCACAACAGGGAGACCTTGGAGACTTTAGGCACAGGGGAACATTGTGAGGTTTGTAAGGTAGGTAGGTTTTTTGGGAGAGGGTCCGATTGTCTGCAGTGACATCCATTCCTCAGGAGCCTTCTGGATATGTGGCTTGGATAACTGGCTAGTAGTGTTAATATGTTTTTCTTTTAAGCAAATACCTCTTTTTAACAAAACCATTGCTTTGATTGAGTGACTTGGCTACTGTATTAGTTAGGAAACCTCAATTAAAAATCTCTCAAATTAGTGGGATTTGTAAGTGTGGTAGTCAGGGTTTACAAGGGAAAAGATTTAATACAGGCCACATAATTTATAGGATTATTTTATAATATTCACCCAAAGAGTCACATGCAGAAGAGTGCAAGTGATCTGTCCACACGCTAGAGACCCAAAGAATCCAGCTGAGGGCCTGGATCCCACAGCAATGTCCTGCACGAGTCTAGCTGAAGACCCAGAGCCCATGGCAATGTCCTTCACGAGTCCACATGGAGGTCTATAGCCCACGACAATGTCTCATTCAAGCCTGATTCAAGAATCTGCACTGGGAAGGCCCAAAAACCAGTGATGGGAGCCAGAAAGTCTGCACCAGTGAATTGGAAGATCTTGGACAGCAGGCTGAAGGATCTGCACTGGAATCAGTAAGCAACGCTCAAGGTAAAGATCAGAGCTCCCCAGAAAAGATCCGTAGTCGAGGGCTCAAGCTCCTCCAACGATAATAGCTGAGTTCATATCAGGAAAACCAGCTCAGCAAGCTTCTACCACTGAGTCACACCCCCAATTCAGCATTCCATTTTAACAAGGAGTTATTTAAACACTAAAAAACATTTATTTACCTAAAGCACAATAGGAAAGGAGGAACAAAAGTAAGAGGAGTTGGGACAAGTGGCAAACAAACAGTGACAGGATAAACTCAGATTTGTATTCATTGTAAAAGGAAGAGACAGAACACTTAAAAGACAGAGATTTTCTGACTGGATAAAGAGCAATATCTGGCTGTCTATTTCTTATGAAAATAAATTTTTAATATAAAGACATAGATAGGTTAAAAGTAAGAGAATGGAAAAAAATTGCATGGTTGAAAGAGTAAGTGTAGGCTGAAGTTATAACTTAGTAACTCAGTGGCACAGTGTCTGCCTGGCAAGCACAAGGTCCGGAGTTTGATTCCTGGTACAACAAAACAAAACAAAACAAAACAAAACAAAACAAAGCAAGGATAAATAAACTGGAATAGCTTTAGTAATATTAGACAAAATAGATTTCAAGGTCAGGCATATTAAGAGAGATTTCAAGGATCATTTCATAGTAATAAAAGGGTAAATTCATCAGGGAACTATATCCATTCTACACGTGCACATACCTAGTAATAGAATTTCAAATGCACGAGGCATAAACTGAAGAATTAAATGAAGGATGAGTTAAGTCCACAATCACAGTTGAGTATTATTAACACTCCTTTCTCAATAATTGGTAAAATAACTAGAGTATCATTCTGTAAGACTGCAGAAGATTTCAATATTCTTAATTGCTTGGAATTTATTAGGATTTTATTTTTTATTTTTTTGAACTTATCTATGGGACATAACACCCAAGCACAGATTACATATTCTTCCAAAAATTATTTTACAGCATATTTGTTACATGGAATATTGTGATATTTTCCTATATGCCTATAACATATTGTGAGTATATCCACCCTTCAGTACTCCCTTCTCCTCCCTCTCCCTCTCCCCTATCCTCTTCTACTTTCTAATAATCTCTTTTCTACTCTCATGTCATCTGTCCTCTCCCTTGCCTATATATATATATATATATATATATATATATATATATATACATTTTTGGGAAGGCTACCAGGAATTGAACTTAATGACCTTGAGCTTGCCAGGCAGGTGTTTATGCTGCTGAGCTATATCCCTGGCTCTTCTATATGTATTTTACATAGTGACAGAAAACAGGACAATACTTGTCCTTCTAAATCTGGTTTATTTTACTTAACATGATAAACCTTAGTTCCATCCATTCTCCTGCAGATGGCAGAATTTCATTCTTTTTGGTGGCTGAATAATATTCTGTTGTGTGCAATACCATATTTTTCTTATCTGCCCATTGATAGGCACCTAGACGGGGTGTATAATGTGGTTATTGTGCTTATGCTGTGAGAAACATAAGCATGCAGGTTTCTTTATAATATGTTGACTTTAATTCCTTTGTGTATATACCAAGGAGTGGTCCAGTTAGTTGGATCAATTATTTTTAGCTTTTTCAACAACTTCCTTGCAGATTTCCATAGTAGATATGTTAATTTATGTTTTCACCAAAACTGTAGAAAGGTTCATTTTACTCCACATCCTGGAGAACATTTGTTATTATTATTTATTATTATTATTATTGTTGTTATTTTGCAGTACTGGGGATTGAACTAGGACCTTCACATTGAGCTACAACCTTAGTCATTTAAATTCTTTTTAAAATTTTGATACAGAATCTTGCAAAATTGCTAAGTTATTCATGCTGGGCTTGAGTTTGTGATTGTCCTGCCTCAGCCTCCTGGATTTCTGGGATTATAGGCATGTGCCACTATACCTAGATGCCACCATTTATAATTTTTGCATTCTTGATGATTACTACAGAATACATACGCTTTTCAAATGCATCTGGAATATATACCAAACTGGACCATCTGCTGAGTCATAAAATAAGTCCCTGTAAAAGTCAAAAGACTAGAAAAATACACAAACTCAGCAAGGCAGCTCAGTGGGTCACGATCCCAGAGTCCGTGTGGGAGAGACGTAGCCCAGAAATAGACTTTCAAGTCAGCAGTCAGCACAGACAGCATTTTGCCATCGATGTAAATGGACATCTGGATTCACAGGCTGGATTTGAAACAAATGCGTCATATTGTCTGGCCTGCCAGGCTCAGCCCCAGAGAATGTTTCTATTTATCACTGGCACGGGGATCAAGGAGGATTAAATCCGCTAATGCCCGGCTCAAACTTCTGTGCTTCTTCAGCACCTTGGGAGAGTGTTAACGGTTTGTAATGGAATCGTCACGTGGAGATTCAATGCTAAATAATAGGTGATTTATTAAAGCGGCACACTGGATTACAAAACATGCATACTTCTCTATCAGCAGACCGGAAGACCTGGCACTGTAGCCGTGTACACCTGGGGACGTCTACTGTAGTTGATAACTGTCTTTATTTCTCCTAGCCTGGTACTTTTCTGCCCTAGATCGTATCCATCTTTTTATTTTTTGTACTTCATTATCATCGTCATCATATGCGCATGTCATCCAAATGCGCTGGCTGCTTAAATAATGAAACTACTCCATGTGACTGAGGCCGCGGAACTGGTCCTTAAAGTCGCTGGAAACGCATAGGAGCAGCTCCCTAGAGAGCCCAGGATGAATCTTATCACAGCATTCCACCTTCGCTGCCCGCTCCTTGTCTCCTCTTAGTCACCAAGTGCAGAGGCCCCGGGTCCTGGGATCATGTGTCACAGTGGTAGCAGGAAAACCTGAAAGTCCAGAGCTGACCTCCCACTTGGTCCCGCTGTTCAGTACACGGAGAGTTTCAAACAGTGAGGAATATAAAGGGCGTCTGGGGGTCTGATACATTTTTTGTAAAAAGCTTTGGAATTTCTCCGTGCTGGGTGCAGGCTAACCCTGGAAGGTCCCTTCAGCTCTTCAGCCCTGGATCCCTTCTCTTAGAGGTGAATTACCTGTAGAGTAACTCCATGACGTCTTGTGTTTAATTCCTTGTTACTCAGGGCTTTGGTGTCTCCAGGTGTTTGTCACTTCTGCGCCCTTTCTGAGTCTTATTCATAGTTATTTGCAGTTACTCTAACATGTACCCCAAGATCTATGGCATATTTATCAATATGTACACAACTGATACCATGGTAGCCGAAATGTTCTGCCTGAGGCCCCACAGCCACTGACTGGTGACCCCAGATCTTTAGTAATTGCCACCTTTTATTGAGCTCAGGGCCTGTGCTTTACTTAGATTAATGAGGTGGATTATGCTTGTTTTACCAAGAGTAAACAGAAACTCGGTGAATTTACATGATTGGCCAAGCTCACGTAATAAGTCATCAAGGGATCCGGATTCGTGCCCTTTGCACTGCACCCCTGCGTCTCTCAGCGGGAAAATGCGGGCCCCCAAGTTCGTTGATTACACAGGTCAGGTACTTGGTCTTTGCTTAATCACGGGTCCTTAAGCCTCATCTGGCAATTCAAGACACACCGTGCTCTAATATAAGATATGAATTTGTGGTTCTTTTACTTTGGATATTTGTACATTTGATGTTGTTGTTAATAACAGGCCTTATCCGGCCCAGGATCTCATGTGGCCCTGAAGAGCTATCTTGATTGTTAGTGTAGTTACTGCTGCTAAGGTGGAAGAGCGCAGAGCGCTGGATGCACATGGTCTGACTTAGCTGCTCGAACCCACGAAGAGCATCTTCCGAAGGAGCGGAGATTCTGAGAATCCCGGTCTTCACAGGCCGGTGCTTCTCTTCCCCGTGGGGCCTGTGTCAAAGCTTCACTGTCTTGATTCTGTCTCAGGTCTGAACTGATTTCCTCCGAGGAAGACATGAGCCAGCAGGTGTGGCCTCCCCTCCTTTCTTCCTTCCCACATCTTCGCTTGTTCGTCCCTCTTTCGCTGGTCCAAGTGGAAAACAGCCTTCACCCTGTAAGTATTCACTGGGGCTCTAGACAGGAAATAAAAAAAAGCATTCTGATGGCTTAAATGAGGAGACTTTTAACAAAGAATCTAATAATAGGAGCGTGGACAGCATTTCAAGGAACAAACAAAAGATGTAGAAGCGCCCAGAGCTGGCAGTAGCACCCTGATGTGCCAGAGGCCTTGGCAGGGGCTGTGGTCACGGGCAGCAGGCGCAGCTGCTCAAGGAGTGGCGCGGAGACCTCTGGGCCTCTGCTGGCTGAGCCCAGCTTGGAGCCCGTGAGCCGTAGTCTGCAGGGGGCCCTAGCCAGGGAGAGCATGGCAGAGACTGGGTCAGGAAGGGGGCTGTGTGGAATCTAAGTGTTGCATGAAATGCGTTGAGCTTGGGGAACCTGGCAGCAGAGTGCTTAGTTTTTCTCCTTATCATTGCTTTCTGTCACCTTCTGATCCATCTTGGGCCGAGCCCACCCTTTCTCAGATTTTTTGGAGCCTAACGAGCCTGGTTCCCAGGCATTAAAAGGTCCAACTCAACGTGAATCAGGACATGGCTTTCTCAGGCAGCTGATCACACTCCGATCTCTCCCTAACCCACCCTCCATCAGCCACCAGGGGCACACGGGCAGGTGCCACTTTTTGCTTTTCTGTTGAGCTTCACAGCTTGGACCCACAGCTGGCTTCTGCAGAGTGGAGCTGGGGAGAAGGTTGGAGGAACCATGGGAAGAGGGCTTTTGACCTGGCTGGAGCTGTTTCTCCCTTGGCTACCAAATGCCCTCCCCATGGCATCTGCCAAACGTCTGCCTCTTCCATAGGCTGCACTCCCAGGCTCCCCGGAGAGGCCCCCATGCAGACCTCAGACCCTACCAGCTCCTGATGTAGCCGATTTCCTCCTCCCCCTAGCAGCACACCCTTCTCAGCCTCCTCTGTTGGGGACCCTCTTTGCAACAGGGTGTGACCTGAGTGGGGCTGTCCAGCCTGCAGCTGGCCTGGGGGAAGCCCTGTGACCCCACTGCCCACATGGCTAGGAGTGGGTCCTTGTGTTGCCTTCTAGCTAGGTTTTCCTTGGCAGGCACTGCAGACAGGAAGCAGGGGTCTCCAGCCCTGTACCCACCAAAAACAGGAGCACCCTCCTTTCTGCTTCTTTAGATTTCTCTAAGGGTCTCTCTCTTACCCTAAGGGAAATTGCTTTTTATTTCCTGGCCTCCTTTATATGGGCTGCAGAGGGTGACACCAGACCAGATGACAGGCATATCCCCTCTTTAGAACCTAAGGCTGAGACCAGGACCAAAGTGAGCTGTTTGGTGCTCTGGCCTGAGCACAATGCCAAGGGGTCCCTAAAGCTCACACAATAAGATGAATAATAGTTTAGTGCATGACTACAAAATCAAAATCAATCCCAGATCCACAATGAACAAAATGTAAGTTTTTAAAGATAAGATCACAGTGAGTAGGCTGCGTGTGGGGCACATGCCTGTCATCCCAGTACTTGGGAGATTGAGATGGGAGGATCGCTGCGAATTCAGAGTCAGCTGAGACTACACAGTGAGTTCAGGACCAGCCTGAACTAATCAGTGAGCCCCTGTCAAAAAAAGGAAAAAAAAAAATCATCACATTTATTCTCATTTCTAATATGGCTCAGCAAGGCATTGTTACCAACTATGTCTTTACTTGCAATTTTGATGTTTTGTGCATTGATTTTTAGCCTTAATTTTGCCATAGGGAATTTAGCCATTTTTCTTGATACTGAGCTTTTGGTGGCCCATTCAAGTCTGCCTTTGCCCTCTTCCCTCAGCTGAGCCTGTCCTAAGTATGGCTTTTCTATCATCACTGGCTCAGGGAACTGAGAGTCTAGATTGCTGAGAAAGTGGCGAATTCTCTTTTTCAGTAGCCAGGCTGCCCTAACCACCCATGCCTCGGGGGCTGGGCCTCAGTTCCTCTTCTGTCTCCTCTCTCAGCCTCCAGGCTCGGTCCTTTCCACACAGACAAGTGCTGTGCTCCTCCTGCCTCAGGAGGCCTTTGTCTCTGCCATCCCTACAGCCTGAAATGCATCCCTGAACTCCTGCTGCTTGCAAACTGCTCAGCCACGGACAGTGGCTGGCTTACCTGCTCTTGAGGCGCTGTGTGTCTCCGGGAAGGACTGGCGTTCACGCGCTGTTCATTGCTAATTCACCCACTAATACTTCCGGTCAGCAGGCCAGAGTGTGTTGAGGGGTAGTTAGGAGTAGTTTGTTTCTTATGGCTGCTGTAATAAACTGTCACAAATTTAGTGGCTTAAACCAATCCACATCCTTTCTCTTACAGTTAGTTGGAAGGTCAGAGTCTGAAATCTCTGCACGCGTGGGGAAATGGCCCCCTGGCTTTTCCCAGCTTCCGGAAACCGCCTGTGTTCCTTGGCTCACCGACTCTTCTTCATATCCCTGCATTTCCTGCTGCCATGGTCACATCTACTTCTACTAAGTCCGATTCTCTTGTCTCCTTTTGAAGCATCTTCATGATAGCCTGTGTCCACCTGGATAAACCAGGTAATCGCTCCACTTCTAGAGCCTCGATTTAGCCACGTCTATAAAAATCCTTTTTGCCGTGTCAGAGGACAGTTCAGATCCTGGTATGTGGGATGTGGATCTCTTTGAGGGCTATTATTTTGCCTACCAAAGGTAGCTATGCTCCACCGTGACCAGTCAGAAATTTTCATGTTCTGCCCTCATTACTTAGCATGAGGCTGAGCATGAAGTTGGTCCTCAGACTGGTCTTGCTGGCATGGAGGACATTCACAGAGCTTGAACCTTCCTTGCCTCGCCTGTGCTGTTAGCTCAGGGGCAGCCTTCAGGGCTCCGAGGGCTTGGCAGATGTCAGCACAGATCCCATCTCCCATTGCAGTGGTAGGGAGGGGCGTGTCGCAGATTCATCCATTTCCTCTCCATTAGCTTAGCCTCTTTTCCTAGGGCTAGCAATTCTCATTAAAACCCAAGCACGTTTCTCATGTATTAAAATATATTTGATTTTATGCTATGCATGTCTGCAAAAGCTGAGGGCAAACCCACGCTGAACAACTCTGAACCAATAATACAGTTTTACATTCACACAGTTTGCAGGAAATAAAATTCAGAGGAGTTCAGCCTGACTTATCCAGCCCTAGAGAATAGACATGTTCCAGAAATATCCCCACGCTGCTAGCCTCCTCCCGGCTCTCCAAATTGTCTCCGTGTCTATTTACCACCCAGGAGCAGCTTCGCCTGCTGATACCTCCCAGGGCTGGGGAGGCAGGAGGAGCAGGAGCTGCTGTGGGCAGAGGCAGGTCCTCCCTCCATCCTGGCAAGGCCTTTCTGGGTCTAATATGCTGGATTTTGGGGGCCAGTCCTCCTTGATGACAGTTGAAGAAATGCTAGGTAGACGCTGCATTAGTGATTCGGAGATGATTAGTGTTTGTGGAAATGTTTGGATGCAATGCAAAATTAATGTTTTACCTAAGATTTACGTACTAGCTAAATATTTTGACAGAGTCGTGAAAGTAACTGTGAGGACCACTCCATCTGGCTCCTCTTGTTTATTGCCTGAATATTTATACTACTGCTTTGGAGAGTTCATGTACAGAAAAAGATTATTTCTGTGTTTTTGGCCAGAGTCAGAGCAACTTTTTGTTGTATGGATTGGAGATAAAGAGGAGAGACAGAAGCACATGTGGGCCTTGAAAGAGGCCTTTCCCTGTTTTGACACCGGGAACTGAATCCACTCCACATGTACCCAAATAGTAGAAAATCTCAACTCTGCAGGCATGCGTGACTGTTGCTGATGCGCTTGGAGATGCAGAGGGTAATGAATGTCTGCTCCAGAGCAGATGTTAGAAGGGAGGATGCAAAGTACAGGTGATATCCTTTGCACATAAAGAATTTCAGGTCCATAGTGGTCTGAGGAAATACACAACTCTTTTTGGAATGTGCACAGACTCTGTAAGAGGTGGAGTAGTCTGCACAGGATTCCAGCAGCAGAGTGATTTTGGCATCGACTTGGGAATGTTTAAAAAGTGCGAGTCTTGGTTGGGGGTTCCCAGCACCGTGGCTAGTCAAGGCTGCCCTCCTGTCCTCCGCCAGCTCTCTCCTGGGTTCTCACGCTTTCTCTCCCGCTGAGATCTCAGCTGGACACCACCTCCTTTGTGAATCGGCACTCCTCCCATGTCCTCTGGTCAATGGAGTTTTCTTTCTTGCAGTATATACTGAGGTCTGCACACTCTTAACCTGCAATTCTTAAACCTCAAATTGTAAAAAGTAGAAAATGTCAGGTTTTGGTACTAAAATTCACTAGGTGCAAAATCTTGCCTGAACTGGAACAGGGCTGTTGTCCGTGTTTATTTCACTTTATTCCTTTTACGTTTTGCTGCAGAAAGGTGATGTGATTGATCACGGCTGATATCCCAGACCCTTCCTAGAACACAGCTTCACCTTGCCAAGTGTTTTGATGAGGAGATTGTAGGCCTGGTCTTTCTTGCTTCAGTTGCCTGTGCTTTGTTGACAGGTTTGTGTTTCCTGGAGTCTGCATTTCCATCTTTATTGACCACAGGCCTCAAATAGGTCACAGCCTTCAGCATCAAGAATCTTGGTTTTGACAGATTGTTATTTACAGAGATCCACTAAGGGGTTCTTTATTTATGTGTGTCATCAGCAGTCATGGCTCAGGGGAGGATGACAGGGAGGGACAACAGGGGCTGGACCAGGTGGGTGAAATAGTGCTCTGCTTGTGCTTCTGGGAGGTGGATTTGTCAGCAGATGGGAGCGTGGATGGGTAAAGGTCCCAGGGGAAGGATGCTGCCTGCCCCCTGCCCAGTCTCAGCACTGCACGAGTCCTCTGAAATTTGGATAGAGTGGAAGCATTCTGTTATTGGATGAAATGGGCAGGGTCGTTAGAGAAAATTTAAAAATCCACTTCCTGCATAAAATGTTTTATGAATGAGAAATCACGTTGGCTGATTAAATTAATGAAATGAAAGAGGACCTTATTTATTTCTAATCCCCAAAGTTTTACCCCCCTACTTATCAGGTGTTGGTTTATTTTTAGTCATTATTTTACCAGCCAAGGTGCCAAGGCAGTTCCTGACTTACTTAGAGCCAGGAATGAGCTAGTAAAGCTGAGCATTCAGGAAGATGGGGGTCTCATGCCTAATGTGCTGTTGGACTCCAGTTCTGTGTGTGGGAAGGAGAAAGCCTCAAAGAACTTGGTTAAGGTTGGTATCCGCGGACATGTCTCCAGGATATTCGGGGAGAGCGCCAGGTAGCTAGCAAAAAGAAGCAAAAACAACCAAGGCCAAAACATGCAAGGCGGAGCAAACCAAACCTATTCCCTCCCTCCCTCCAAGGTCATGAGGTTTGGGAGATGCAGCATAACAAACGGACCACTAGGTGGCACTGACGATCCACACTTGCGAGACCCAAAGGCTGTCTCTATGGTAACGGGTTTACAAATTTATGGGGAGACCTGGCCTTGTCTCCTCTGGGGTGTGTGTGTGTGTGTGTGTGTGTGTGTGTGTTTGTAAGAAGGCACGTAAGAAGGCGTTGTTAAGTGTTCAAAAAGTGTTTTGTGCAGCCAGAACTGTAGATTTGCAGCTGTCAAGAGATAGAGACCATCAAGGTAACGTTATCACAGTGTACAAGGCAAAAGCAACAGAAGAGCAGAGAAACCACTGCTTCTATACAATAACAAAGTGCTGTCGCCTGGCTTTGGACACTAGGGTTCTCTAATACGTGGGGCCAGGAGGCAGGGACCCGAGGCATGCTGGGAGTCTGGGGAGGGGCTGCAGGCTCCAGATGCTTTGTGCACATTATCACCGCAGGGACTCAACCTGGAGGAGCTGGGGTTGCTTGACCCTGGGTGGTTTAGGGCTACAGTGCTGGAAAATATTAAATATGCCCAGGGATTGAGTGTTATGAGTTTGATGGTGGCTGTCTTGGAGGAGGGTGAGCCACTCTCCATATAAAATGTGTTTCTAGGATTGGTTCTGCCAGCCCTTGAGACCAGATCAAAAGCCCAGCTGTCTGCTTCCTCTTGCTCCTGCTCCCCCATTCCATGGAGCTCTCCATGTTCGGATGCTGTTGCCCTGACTTCTAGTATGCTGGGTGCAGGTGGAGGGCGGCTCTTATACCTGTAGGAGTTCTGGGTGCTTTGCTGTGCTGGGGGTAGGAAATGCCATTTTGGAGTGAGTCCATTTGCACTAAACTCAGTTACTTAGCTACCAGGGAACCTTTTGGAGATATACTCTGTGTGGGCTCCAGACCCGCGTCAGCCCAGCCTCTGCCAGTGAATGGGGTACACCCGGGCAGGGCTTGTTTCAATGTAAAATTTGTCTTCTCAGGAATTCTGGAGTTGCACTATTTTTTTTTTTTTGTCTTTTTCCTTTTTATCAGTACCAGAGATCGAACTCATGACTGCCTGCTTGCAAGGCAGACGCTTATGCCGCTGAGCTAAATCCCCAGCCCCTGCACTATTTTTTGATTTTAGTTTTCATAGAGAAGAAAAAGAGGAAAGAAGAAAAAATGGACCTGAGCAGTGTTTTCCAGAGCTCTGTAGCAATATGCTCACTACTGAAGCTCTGGATAGTTATTTTATAAATATTATCTGGGTAGCCAATATCACCTAGACTGCTCCAAAAATTGAAAATATTTTGAAGTAACTTCAGACTTAGAGAAAAACTGCATGCTACAAAATATTGTCACACAGCCTTCACCCATTGTCCCCCAAGTTCAGTATTGATTTCGTGATATAGATATGTAATTTTTCAAATGCTTTTGATAATAAATTACTGGTATGGCTTCTTAAATCTTTAAAGATTTTAGAATTTCCAAAAAACAAGAAAATCATCTCACATAACCACAACTATTTCTTGAATGGGCAGTAGGGTCATGGAGGGAAATACGGACAAACCCAGACATACCTGGATTCATCTCCCAAACCTGCTGGCTAGAGCCCAGTGGTGGGAGGTGGGGAATGCTGCTTCAGGCAGCAGATTTCGCTGTAAGATATCAGGATATAAATCCTTCTCATGGGGAAGGGATTAAGAGATAGAGGTGGAGCGGGGAGGAGGTGGGGAAGGGGATGAGAAAAGGCATTAGGATGTGTTATGTGTAGGTACTGATCCTCCACAAGGAAAGTAAACATTATCACAAATGTGTACTTATAAAAAGAAACGGGAACAAATGTAGATCATAATTTGAGTCTCTGAAAGTGAGTATTAAGGTAAGTGAGATAATATAGAAAAAGCCTTATTCACCTAAGGCGTGGCCAATAAAGCTTTTCCTCACTTGCAGGGGGATTCTTTCATACAAGATATTCAAAATAGTCCTGGTTTCTTAGATTTACACCACAGAGTAGCTTAAATAAACGTTAGAGTCTGCTTATGACTTCAACTGTTTTTAACCATCATAAACACCTAAGAGGTCTCTCTAGCTTTCTTGAAAAATTAAATTATTTTGAGGTAGTTGTGGGTTTGCACAAGAAGACAAAGCTTAGGTACCCTTTACCAAAATTCTCCAATGGTAACATCTTGCAGAACTAGACCACAGTACCACAGCCGGCAAACCAGCATTGAGAGTCAGGATGCAGAGCGTTTTCACTGCCAGGAAAATCCTTCCTTTGGCTTTTTAAAGCTGAATGGACTCCCCTCCTGGGGAGCCACTGACCCAGAGCTCATGAGCACTGACCCAGAGTCCAACTGGAGGTCCAGAGCCCATGAGGACTCACGCCAGTCTCTTTTATGGAAACATGCTGGGAAGGTCCAAAGGTCAGCAGTGGAAGCCAGAAAGTCCATGCCAGCAGGGTGAAGGAGCTGTGCTGGTGGGTTGAGGGTTCTACAGTGGAATTGAGAGGTCACACTCACAACAGAGACCAGGGCTTCCCCAAAAAGCACCACAGCCACCCTCAGCGACACGGAGGCCCTGAGCTCCTCCGATGATAAGCACAGTCACAGTACATGCCAGGAAACCAGCATGATGAGTTCATCCTGGGGACCAGGCAGCACACGTCTCCCCCTCTGGAGCCAGGAAGCAATGCTCGATGTGAAGACCAGAACTTCTCCAGGAGAACCACACACGTAGGAGAACCCACAATGCCTCAGTGCCTCAAAGCCTCAAAGCCTCCCCTCTCCTCCTTCTCCTTCTCCACGTCTCTATTTATGCTGGCAACTTTCCTCACGTGAAACATGTATGCTTAGCACCATGGTGATTTAATTTCCCTGGCATTAAGTTGATCACCAGTTTTTAATCCATAACACATAGTATTAGGGTGCAGAGACTTTTTTGGCTCTGAAGGTATGTTTCCACCAAAAACACAACACTTGCGAAAAAGGTTTCTTATGAAAACTTTTATCATAGTAATCAAAGATCCAAAAATCCCAAGATTTTAGTGTTTTTAAATAAGGAGATATCTGAAAGCAGAAAAAAAGTATTCTTAAGACACAAGATTGCCAGACATGGCTGCACATGTCTGTAATCCCAGAAGTTGGGAGGTTGAGGCTGCGGGATCACTGTGAGTTCAAGGCCAGCCTGAGCTGCATAGTGAAATCCTGTCTCAAAAAGACAAAAAAAAAAAACAAACAAAAACATTACTGAAACATGAAAATTGCCAAACAATGTTGGGACATCATTCTAGAGTAGCTTCTCTAACAGTGTATCATACTGGTACATGGTTTTGCAAAATTCTCAGTTCTGTAACCTTGATAAAAAACAGAAACAATGGATTATGTGATGAATTCTGCTAACCGGTCTTGAGTTTTGCATATTTTATTTACATTTACAATTTATATTTCCGTCAATTAGAAGGTTCCAACTAGGAACAACTCCCTCAATCCCCAAGTATAAGTGGCTATAAAAGAAGCTCTGAAAAGCAATAAATAATTATGAAAAAATTCAAGTTTTACCACTACTGAGTATTTAACAGGTTGGTGAGTAAATATAACATTTGTAAGTAAACATTTGGCTTTTCCATATCCTTAGAAAGTTTGCATGTTTGAGCTGACCCCATACTTTCTTTTACAAAACATAGCCTCATAGAGGAATGGGAGATGGCTTTATATTTGGCTGTCAAGGAAATCTGCTTCCCTCTTGGACTCTGGGGTAAGAAATTAACTACTTCTGCAACCATTTAACGTCCAACCCTGCAAAGTTTGCGTGTGAGAGAAGGGCGGGTCAGGGCAGTGGCTGGGAGCTGCCTTCCCTTGGAACTTCCTGGAACATCCTGAGCCTTTTTAGGACGCCCTGAGCTGATCTGCGTGGAAGGTAATTTAAGTCTAGATAGCTACGTACCCAAAGCTCAGGTATATTTAAGCCATTAGACTTCTGATAGGAATAATTTATTTCCCTATCAGTCTTCACTCCCAGATGTTAATTCTGACACCTGCTGCTCCAACCTGGGAAGAATTGGAGCTGCTGCCTCGCTTTGCCACTAATTTAATTAGTGGACCTGAGAAACGGACCGAGTTTCTTTTGGTGCCGGGAATCGAACTCACTCACCACCTTGTGCTTGCCAGGCCAGTCGTTGTGCCCTGAGCTATATCCCTGGTTCTGACTGTGTCTCTGACCATCGCTTTTTCTTCTTTGTAGGAGTGAAGATAACGGTAGCCACCTCAGCTCAGGTGAGTTAGTACAGGTGTGACAGGTACGTGCCTGCGTGACTTGCTGGTCCGGTCCCTGTTTGCTGCTCCGCCTCCTTTCTGGGAAGCATGCACGGCCTCCAGAATTCAGCGACGGTGCTCGGCTGGCCGCTGGGGGGCAGCATCGCCTAACTGCTAACTGCTGCCCTGCTGGCCCGGTGTGTCCCCATCTAGTGCCTCCTGCGGTCCTGCAGCACACTGTAGCTGCCTTAAATGATACCTGTGATCGCAGCTGTCACTAGTGCCGTGGCCACTTTTGTCCTTCTTCGCCCTCTTTTGCAACCCCAAGTCAGACACGTCTTCTCCTTATCTGAGTCTTTCTTAGCTTCTGAAGATCTTGCTTGACATTTGTCGTGTTCGGATTTTCACTGCAGCGTTTGCTTTTTATATTTGTCATAGTGGGTCTCTCTGTGTAGTTTTAAGTTTGTAGGGAAAGGGAATAAGTTTTGATATTTCTTAGACTCATCACTGTCTTTACGAGGGATCTCCACTCCCCTATCAGCGAGGAGCTCGGAACTTAAACTCATTTCCCAGAACTGGGGTTCAGTGTGGGTTTGCTGACTGTGGGGTGGGTGGGTACTGATGTGGCCATGTGAGGCCCAGGGGCAGCTGTGCCCAGATATTTCTGGATATCCCTTTACATCCCCAAACCCACGAGAGGACTGTATTTCTAGGGTTCTTTGGCTGTGATTCTCAGCTCTGTTCCTTGTCTATCAATAGCGATCATGGCAGTTAGCACTCACGCAGTGCCCACAGTATTTGAAAAGTCCGCACATTCCCTGTAACCGCCTCTTCAGCAGGCAAACCTAACAGGAACATGTAGACACTAGAGACCATCTGGCGTCCCTTCCAGGGACTTCTTGTCCTAGAGATGACCAGGTTGATGGGATCATAGTTATGAATACTCAGATTCTCAGAAAGGCCCACTAGGGGTTTTCTGTCACCAGTGAAGTCTAATGTCCTAAGGGGTCCATGCAGCTGCTCATGGAGACTGTGGAGCCAGGGTGTGGGGGTGGCACAGTGCCCATCAGCCTCTGCGCTTTTGGCTGTGGGTCTTTGCACTTACGTTTGGGCATCATCTTGGGATTTTCATCTTGGTTTTCTTTTTGGACCAGGAATCAAACTCAGGACCTTGTGTTTGCCAGGCAGGTGCCATGTCACTGGGCTGTATCCCTGGCATCTTGGGATTTTCAGGAGCTGTTATATCTCTTTTTTCATGAGATGCTACAGTGTGCAGTGGCAGCCAGTGCATCTGACAGGGAGACCTGCCCAGGGCCACAGAACCTATTCCCAGAGGACTTGGGCGTAAGATGTGCATTTCTAGATCCCTTTTGTGCTTTTTAAGTTTCTCTGCCTGCTCAGAAATGTCACTTCTCTGCAGGGCAGAGGAGCAGAGTGAATGCTTTGGGTCCCCTGTGACCTTGTCTTGTCCCTGTGACCTTGTCACTCACAGAAGGGACAGCTTCTGGGCTGGCTTCAGATACTCAAAGTGTGAGCTCTGGACTAGCCAGCCCTGTGGCACCTGGTGCGTTTTAGAGACGCCCAGTCACAGCCTCCCTCCCCCTGGGTTCCTCTCAGGCTGTCTGGCTCGCGTTCACTGTATGCCTTCTTTGCACAGTGCCCTAAGACTTTTGTGGTCAGGGCCTGGTGGAGGATGGCTGCTTATCTCAGGGCAGCCGGAAGTAGAGGCACGAAAGAGAAACTGGGGACAAAAATGCACCCTTCCAGGTCCTGCACCCCTCAGCACCTCCCCACAGCACAGAAACCATCAGCTCATCCGTGGATGAGGCCACTGATGAGTATAGCACCCCGAGATCCTATCTCCTTCCACACACATGAGACTTTTAGAGGACATTTAGATCTAAGTCATAAGAACATTTGGATCTAAACCAACAGCAACGCTCAGCTAAAAGTGTAAGCCTTTCTCCTCATGCAAAGAGAAAGGTGTTCACTTTATTAACGGCATAAATCCAAGGGCAGTTTCATCTGCAGACTTGACTCCCCAACATCAAAGGGCTGAGTGTTCATAAAAATACTCTCAAAATGCGTCCCTCAGCTGCAGGACACCCTCCTGTAACGTGCTCACGAGTGGGAGTCGTGGCTTTAGAGGGCGTGGTGTCAGCTGGAACCCAAATGAATTCAGCCAAGTACAAAACTCATGTCCAAGGTTGGTGAATGAAAGTGAGTTTATTTATTGCTTTTTGGTACTGAGGATTGAGCCAAGGGAACATTAAGCTATATTCCCAGCCCTTTTAAAAAATTATTTTCTAAATTTTAAAACAAGATCTTGTTCAGTTGCCCAGGCTGGGCTGGTCCTCCTGCCTCAGCCTCCCACGTAGCTGAGCTAGTAAGCAGGCACCGTCACACCTGGCTGCAAGCTAATTTATGAATCAACTCATTCATGGCAGGAGCAGGCTTTGCGGGTTCTTCATGTTTACAGGAGCTGTGTTTCCAGCCTCTCCTGGGCTGGAGAGGAGGAAGCTGAGGGCTCAGGTCCTTCTTGGAAGTTGAAGCGTTGTGCCTGGTCACGAGTCGCAAGCGTCTCTGTTGAGCAGAGGTGAAGTGGGGGAATGTCCTCCGGAGAGGAACCTTATGGTGGGTCCCTGGCCAGCTTGTTGAAATTAAGCAGGCAACTTTGGGAAAAATAAATGCTGAGTTCTGGGCCTCAGGAGAGGTGATTCCGATTGGTGGATTAAGGCTCAGGCCTGAGAAATGAATACTTTTAAAGCTGCCTCAGATATTTCTGATGGTATTTCTGGGCTGGGAACTACTAGTTTAGGTGCTGTTTGTACTGTTTAGCTAATGCTCACATTTTCCAAAGTGCCTGCTAAATATTAAACCAGTGGTTTCCATTCCTGGCTGCACATTATGGCCACTGGGGGAGTTTTTAAAAAATACTGTTACCTGGGTACTATCCCAGGCCAATTAAACCAGAGTCTCTGGGGTGAAGGGGCTTGCTTTAGCACTAATATTTTTTAAAAGCTCCCCAGTTGAATCTAATGTGCAACTAAACCTTGAAAGAATAAATAAAATTTATTCCTGAGCTGTGTGTTTGGAGGCTGCACTGGGTTATTGTCTGTTTTTTTTTCTTCTTCATTTTCCAGAGGGCTAATTTGTTATTAAAAATGTCAATTATCCTATGTGGCCTGATGGGTGTAAATCATCTGTCTTTGATTGGAACACCAGGTTTCTGTAATTGTGGTAGAAGACAGTGCTTTCTTTTTATTTCCTCCTTTCTTTTTGGCAGCTGTACCAATCTGCTGGTTCATTAGGCTCATGGAAAAACAGAACTTTGAATCGCTTTTTTGCACACCAATGTTGTAGTGATCTCTGCTAGTGGATATTTCTGCTGGTGATCATTTTGATTATTGTGGAATGGAGCCACGTCCTGAAGAGGTCCTGGCAGGTGAATAACACAAAGTGGCCGTCCCATTGGGTTGGGGTACATGCTTGGCTAGCAGAGCTGGCTAGATTTCAGCTCCTGCCCCTAAGCCAGGTACCTGTCTGCAGAGCAGGACCTGCCCACCCCAGCTGGCAGGAGAAAAGAGTGAGGCTTTGTAAGCCACATGGATTAGCGTTAGTAGAGCGTGGCTCCCAAAAGAAAGTGAGCTGTCACAAAGATGGGGTGACAGATGCTGGATGGGCAAAACCAGTGCTACCCTTAGACCTGGCAAAACAGGCCCATTCTCAGCTCTGTGTTCAGTCACACCTGACTCCTCAGGGTGGGGCCGAGGAGCTGTGCCTGCCCAGCCATGCCTGAGCTGCATCCCCAGTGCCTGATGACCTGATGACCAAGGCCCTTCTTCCCTGGGCCTGAGTCCTGGGGGTAGACTGTGGGGGCGTACCTGAGGCCTATGGAGTGATCATGGGTAGAAGGTGCAGATGGAGCTTGGGATGTGGACTGAAATGCTCACAGGCACACATGTGAGGCCCCTCGGGGAGCAAGGTGGAGCGGGGCTAAGAGCGGTGGTGGGCTGGTGCTGATGGACACAGGATGATATTCAGGGCCTGAGAGCCAGCTCTTCACATGCCAGTCCTAAAGTAACGTGGAGGGCATGCACAAGGCCCTGGGTTCCATCCTCAGCCCTGCCAAACAAAACAAAAACAAAAACAAAAACACAAACAGAAACTGAAACAACTAATGAGTCTGAGAATTTGCAAGTCAAACTGGCCTTCCAGGTTACTGTGAAGGTGTGTTTGTTAAGCTAGGAAGGTAAAATAAGCTATTTAACAGTTTATCTTGATTGTAGCTTTTAAATATTTAGAGAAGTGGTAATTGGGCTTTTTTTTTTTTCTTGGATTCTTGACCCAGACACCTCACCTGTTACGGAATGACAAACCAATGCATGTCAGATGGTAACAGAATACCACTGATGAGTGACTTGGACAAATATTTGTTTCTCACAGTCTGTAAAATCCAAAATCAGGGTGCTAGCAGATTTGGATCAAGGTGCTAGCAGATCGGGTGTCTGCTAAGGACTCATTTCCTGGTTTGCAGATGGTCAGTTTCTGTTTGTGTCCTCACATGGGGAATGAGAGAGCAAATTCTCTTAGATCTCTTTTATAAGAATACTCACTGCATTCCCGAGAACTCCATCATCTTGACCTCATCGATTCCCAGAGGCTCCACCTTCTGCAACTGTCCCACTCCAACAGATGAATTTTGAGTGGTTACAAATGGAAAAAAAAGCCAGACTGAACTCAATGAAAGGGCATCGTTGGCCGGCTGGGGGCGGGGAGGGGGCAAGGGTCTGAAGGTGAGGTCCCAAGGTTAAAGAATGCACGTGTGCAGGACATTAGCAACAACAGCAGGCAGCATGGAGCGGGGCAGAGAACCAGAGTAAGAGCAAGAGCTGCCTGCATCATTAGTGTAAAGTTCTTATACAGGTTGTTCTCTCATATTTACACTGTCACATAGTGCTGTAACCAGGGCACGCGTGTTTACCTGTGCCAAGTCATAGTTGCATAACTGTATCCTGCTGTGTGCCTGCACTATACAAGTTGGGTCACATCCTCAGGTGCCTTCAGACACCCTTAAAGCAGTCTGAGTGGTTCCCCTCAGGCATTTTGAGCTAGAGGTTAGGCTAAAGATCAAGGTAGAGGTGCGGAATCCTGTAGATGGTGATTAAATTCTAGGGTGATTTCAGGCACGCTGCTACCTCTCTATTAAAACGTCCTGGTAACAGATCGTGCTAGCGACCTTCTGTTTCCTAGGATTCTTGATTCACTGGACTCCAATGGCCCATAGAGTTGCCAAACGTTTCTTTCCAACTCCCTGCTTCAGCCTCAGTCTCTTCAGAATCATAGCTTTAGCAAGACTTTAATCGGGACCTTCCCTTTGGCTGGCATTTCTGGGCTTTCTGTGGAGAGGGGATGTGGTCAGATGCTGTGTAGTCAGGATGGAAAGATCTCTCAACAGGAATCAATGAAATGGTTTCCTTGAGTGTGGTTCCAGTAAAGACTGACTCCAGAATCTCTTCTCTTCTTCAATTAATTCTAAAAAGGGGCTTAAAATGTAAAAAACCAGGACAATATACAAAGAGCAAGAATCCCAGAATGGTTGTTTTGTTTTGAAGAGATGTTTCCACCAAGGAGTTCGATCTGCCAAGGATATCTTGAGACGGAAGCATCAGAAGAGACGAGAGCTCCCTGGACAGGGTTGTTATGGACAGGACTTGAAAGGAAATTTCCCCTGGCAACCAAGCCAAGTGGATCTGACTGAGGCAGAGGATGAAAGCAGGAGTTTAATGGTAGCTAAGAATCTCAGGAAAAATGATAAGAAAATGCACCCAAATGACAGCAGTGGGACCATTGTTATTTACATGTAGAATTCTACCAGCCCATGGAGAGTGAGCCTGGAAGTCTCACTTCTTATAAAAATCTTAAGAGTAGACTGGATCCTTGATGGTGTCACCCATAGTTATCACTATAGCTGCTACTGAGCTTGGCCAAATCCTATCCCCTCTGACACAGCTATGTGCATTAAACCTAGCATTCTTGGTCCGCTCTCCTGCTGGCAGCATTGAAAAGCGGTTCCTTCACACCAGCATTCTCTGGGTGGCTGCTCTTTCACAGTCCTGACAGGCTGACTGTAGTTTCTCCCGTTTCTTCAATGGTGATGTGAGCTCCTGGAGGTTGGGAACACTCACATAGTCCTTTCTGCAGAAGCAAAGAGCCAGCCCTGGAGAAGGGATGCAGGCTCGGGATGAAGATGTGTCGGTCAAAGGCATAGAGAGAAGTCATGCAAATCAGCGGGTCAGAGTTGCATTGCTCTTTGCAGGCTCTTTGGAGGAAGAACCAGAACCAAACCAGTCAATGTGGAGAGGTTCTTCTTTAGGGTATGAATTAGTGGCCTATAGCTGTTATAAATTACTAGAAATTATGTGAATTAACACAGCAGAAATGTATCATCTCACAGTTCTGAAGATTGGAAGTCAGAAATGGAAGTGTTGACAGAGCCATGGTGCCTCTTCAGCTTCTGGAGGGGACACTCCTCGTTCCAGTTTTTGGTAGACTCTGGGACTCATTGCGTGTGCTTCCATATGCACGTGGCCTTCTTTCTTCTTGTCTCTCTCTGTGTCCTTTTCTTTTGTAAAGACATTTGCCTTGGATTTAAGACTTACCCTAATGCAGTGTCATCTCATCTTGGTGTTTACCTGAGTTACATCTACAACGATTCTGTTCCATGCGGCATTCCAAAGAACGTCACATTCTGAGATTCTAGCTGATTTGGGGAACGCTTCCCTCCATGACAGCCTGAGATGTGCCTTTAGGAAAAATTTGTCTCATGCCCTTAGGGATGGCCTCATGCTCTGAAGTTCTTGTGTCTGCTTCAGGGTTGGTGCAGGGGGTGCAGGTGCAGGAGTGGGGCAGGGAAGACATGGGAGGATGTTTATTGACTGCTGACTCCCTGTCAGGTGCTTACTCTATGCTTATGTCATTGTACCCTTAAAACAGTGGTTCTTCAGAACAATAACCAGACCTGCAGCGGAAGAATTAACTGAGAATGTGTTAGGGATGCAGATTCTCCGGCCACCTGAGCCCTGCTGGTCCACAAAGGCTGAGGTTGGGGCTAGTAATCTGTGTTTCCACTATCTAGGTTGTTCTGGGGCTGCACTATCCTGGTGAAGAGTCTTCAGGAGGTGACATCTTCAAGCTGCCCCAAATAAGAGTGCCACCTGGGAGCTAAAAGCAAACCTATGTCCACTCAGAGGGTAAGTCCTCAGAGGTTTGACTACATTCATTCTGCATGGGAAAAAAGAATGCAGACTCCATTTTATCCCCAGCTTCTCTGAACAGACGGTCTGACTGTCTCACCTCCTCCCATTCGAGGGTTATCCTCTAAGACCTGCCTTCTAAGCTTCGGGACCTCATTAGAGGTTTGAAAAACTGGTATCAAAAGTGCCTGGGATCATTTTTATGGGCCTTTGTGAATAAGAAAACAATGCCAGCGAGTCAATATTATGCACAATTGGCAGTAAAATCCCCCTAAATGGCTCCCTGGCTCTAATTTTGTAGAGTAAAATCTATAGGAGTCCTGTCAGGTCTGGGGATTTTAAAGGTGAAAGGCCCTGTGCATCCAGAAAAGCCACTGAAACATAGAGGCTGTATTTCCCTCTTACTCCCTCTGGAGGGAAGTTAACAAAAGTACTTAAGCCTTTAACCTGCAGGGTGTCAGCCATCAGGTTGTGCAGGGCAGTCATTGGCATGTGGTGACCCCGACAGTCTGGCTTCCACACACTGCCGGCCACTCATGGCCATGAGATGGCAGTAGCCACTAAAGCAGCACTCACGGTCCCTGCTGCTTATTAGCCTGGCATTTCCAAATTAAACAAAATATAGATACATATGCACAGTCTGGAAGAGACCGTGAAAGATCATCCCTTTCCTGCTTCATCAAAACTGTCCACGTTGGAGTCAACGTGAGCAAACTGTTTATAAGATTCTCTGAGAAACAGCTCCCCAAATCTCAGTCACTGACTCAACTGATTAATTAATTCATTTGCTTAGTGTTTTTCCTCCCCACTTTTCATTCTGAAACATTTCATGCCTGTAGAAAAGCTGCTTGCATAACACTGTAACGTTTAACTTCTGTTTCTCTCTGTCTGTCTGTCTCTCTCTTGCTGAACCAAAGGTTTGAAGGTAAGCTGCAGACATGCAACTTGTGTTTTCTGAGCGCAAAGAGATGTCTCTGTACAAACACAGCATTGTTACGGCATCTGAGAAAACCATCACTGGCAAAATCATGCCACCTAATAATCTATTTTCGAATTGCCATTATTCTAGCAGTGTTCTTCAGATGGACATTCAGTCCATCTGGAAACCAGACTGTCTTTATTTGCCACATCTCTCTCTCTTTTTTAGAGCTGTCCTCTGTCTTTTTTGTCTTTTAGGACCTGGTATTTCTTCAGAGTCCAGTTCATTTGTTCTGTAGAAGGCCCAGAACTCTGGGTTTGTCCATTGTTTCTGTATCAGACTCAGGTTAGATATTTCAGAAAGAGTTCTGCCCAGCTGGTGACCTGGTACCTCCCCTGGTGCATCACTTCCGGTGGCACAGGATGATAAGGTTGGGCATCTGGCTAAGGTACCACAGGCACTGCCAGTCCTGTGACTGCGGCAGACTGTCCTTTTTCCACAGTGTCCAAGGGGCTGTTCTAAAGTTCATCCCCATCAGGACATTCATCTGCTTAAAGTCCTCCTCCTCTGCTTTCCATCACGCCCAGAATGACTTCTAGGTCTCTTGCTGTGACTTTCACAAGCCTGATGTGACCTGACCTGTCTGCTTTTAACCACTCACTATGTTCTAGCAACCCTGCTGTCTTTTTGGGGTTTTGGAGACGTCAAACTGTAGATGTTTAGCTCTGCCCACCCTCGGCACTAGGCACGGCTGGCTTCTTCTTACCATTCCGATTCTGGGACAGATGTCACCATCCCATCCCTATCTTATTTTCTTGCTGTCTCTTTCTATGAAGTGCTGGTCACCAACTAAAATGAGCCATTTACTTACCAGTTCATTGCTTGTCCCATGCTTCAGACTCACAAGGCCCACGGAGGCCAGTACCTAGATTGTTCAGTTTGCTATGTATTACTGTACAGCACAAAGCTGGGTACACAGTAGTGCCCAGGAAATGTTTGTGAACAAACACATGGATGAATGAAATTGGCTTAGTGCTAGTTGGGCATTAAAATGCTGCAGTGGCCACTGTGGAGCAGTGTCGTAGAAGTCAGGAGACTCAAGTATCAGGTCCTGCCTGTGACCTCAGACCAGGCACTTAACCTCCTGAACCTGACTCCTTTCATTGATAGAATAAAGGGTTTTGACTGGATAACCTTTTAGTCCCAGGATTATCTGACACCAAGTTCTACTCTTGGTGAGCAGATGACGTGCCTCTTAATGTGTGTACCTCGTTCATGTCATCTATAAAATGGGATGAAGGATACCTACATCATGCAACTTGTGAAGAGCAGTATGATGGTGAACGTGACTGAGCCCAAACAACTGCATGCTGCCCTGTCCGGATGTCAGGTTATTTTGATTCGGGGTTGTTCTCCTGAAACCAGGAAATCTCAAATTATCTATGTCTTCAGAACTTTCTTTGAAGCTTCCTCGGCAATAAAAAGCATTTTAGTTCAGACTGCTCTGGAAGGCTTAGTGGTTTGAGCTGAAGGGTCATTATAAGACCAGATGGCAGAGAAACCTTTTAGATTACTGTGTCCAGAAGCTTTGTGGTTTAGGTAGAAGCCCAGTGCCCTGGCATTGCCCTGCAGGAATAAAGATCAATAATGTCATTTGCAATAGGTGCTCCTGGTGCTCCTCACCCCTGCAGCCCCTGCCTGTCCCTGGCCCAGCTGTCCACTTGCTGCTTTGGAGACAAGGAGCAGAAGTTAGGCCTGGATGGGTCACTCATCACCATGACAACCACAGTGTGTGCTCTGTGCTGCCCAGCACTGAGGGAGAGGGGAGTATCAGGGGCCTACTGAAGGGCCTAAAGGCCAGGGCAGTGAGGGTGGGTGGGGCGTAAGTGCAGGAAGGTTTGGGTGGGGAAGAGAAAGGCAATTTGCATTCCTCTTATTTCTTTTAATTTTTTTCTAATTGTGAAACTTTGAATTCACATTTTTTTTTTTTTGGTCATTGTTCTATCACTGGGACAATATACCAGACACTGACATTTAAAGGAGAAGAGGTTTAATTGGCTCGTGGTGGTTTCAGTTCACACTCTACTGGCTCCAAGGAGAAATAGGATGGCAGAGGGATCTGGCGGAGGAAGGTGCTCAACCCATGGTGGCCAGGAAGAGAGCGGAGAGAGGAGCCAGAGACACGAATTCACCCTTCCAGATCCCACCTTCTAATAGCACATTCAGTGCCTTCATGATCCAATCACTTTGTAAACGTGTGAGACTTTTGGGGAAACAGATCCAAACTCTTGACACATGCCCTAAAATCCACCCTTTCCAATTGTACACTCCAATGTTTGTTCCAACACTCAAAAGTTCTCCCCGTGTGGGAATTAGCTCTTCTCAGACTGTACTGGTGACAGGGACACAATTTGTCAGCTTCCTGTATCCTCAGCCAGGGCTTCTATGAGAACAAGAATGACCTCTTGAGTGTGCCCAGTGCGGTTTGTGATAAGGAGGGAGGAGGCTGATTGACATTTAGAAAGTAAAGCAGGACGTCTAAGATGGGAAGAAGAGAGGAGACATTGTGTCAAACTGGAGGGTCAGAAGAGAGAGAAGACAGAAATGGATGCAGATCAGAACCTGCTGTGGGAAGGGGATGGCTCCAATTCTGTCCCTCAAAACACTGCATCTGCCTCTTGGTACACCTTGAAAGCCTAGGACCATGCTCTCATTCAAGTTATTTTGTGACATTTGATTTGTTCTAGTGGGACTTCTGCGTTCATTTTGCTTCTAAAAGTCTGAGGTCTTCCAATAACTTCACTTCCAGCAAGGGCCAGTGAAAACCCTGAGGAGCAAGGGGAACACACACTTTCACCCCATCACTAGAGCTCAGTGTGGACGCCTGCAGGCAGGCACGATCCTTGGATGAGTTGTGTGTAATTCTGCATCCCTAGCCCCAGCTTTTGTCCAAAACTCAGGTTACCCTCCCGTCAGTTCCTGTCTGTGGTCGTGGAGGGGGCTCCGGAGGGGGCTCCGGAGCGGAGTGAACCAGCATGGTCCATCACCTCCATCAGAAACCAACCTTGCCTTCTTTGTTCACAAGCCAGTAGTTCCCTCTTTCAGAATGAAAATCAGCTTCTTACTTGACTATTACAAATCAGTAAATAAGAGAACTAAAGGACTCACTAGAGTTCTCCAATAATTAACACTGGTTATTCACCACTGGAAATGAATAAGAAAAAAACAAACAATCAAACAAGTGAATAATAAGACTGTCAGATGTCAGGCTCGAGTTCTTTCCTGCATGTGCAAGAGGGTGTTTTCTCGATCATGAAAACTAAATGTCCATTTCTCTTCAGTCAAGGGACATAGAGGGGAGAGGTTTTCATGATGGAGAATTTGCTGAATGCTTTGCAGCTGGATTTTTCCAAGGTTGTTTCAACACAGCTGGCTAGGAATGCCACTGCAGCTGGTGACAGAGTCCGGGGCTCCCCTAGGAGGGATGTCTCCTTCTCAGTGGTACGGGCTGGCGAGAAAGGAGCAGATCCATGTGGGTGGATCACTGGTGGAGGAGCTCTATTTGTACTGATTACTGTTACATAATTTTCCAACCATTTCAAGTGCTTTGTTTTTCATTTTAGTACTGGAAACCCTAGAGGGCATTTTCACAAATGAGCAAGCAGAGATTCAGACACTTAAGTATATTACCTAAACAAGACAGACTTGAGATTCAAACACAGTTCTGTCTGGTTCCAAATCCCAAGTTTGGAGTTCTGAGCTGCTAATCTTTTCTGCTGCCTGGTTGGGGAGTTCTGGTTTGCTTGAAAGGGATGCTGTCTAGAAGCTGTCTGCAGGGGACAGTAAAGCTGGGTTTGGTTTGGGAAGAAGATAGAGGTAAGAAGAATGGCTGGGAAGGTAGTGTTAGAAGCAGATGGAGGTCCAAGGAATAAATCTGGTTCTAAGCACTTATTGCTTTAAAGTTTCAGCCAGGGATATGCGCAGGCAGCCGGTCATTAGTGGAGGAGGCTGAAACTCGCACCTGAACGCCAGCTAGGAGGAGTCATAGCTGGGCTTCCTTCTTAGTGGGGAATTGTAA